TGGCGGTCGTGGAAAATAACACTGCCACCACCGGTCAGTGACGTTAGCACTGATACAGTATATTTTGTAGTACAACTTTGTCACCTAGTATTAACTACCCGGAGTCCAACTACTATGTTTGGAAACTTTTGGCGCCTTACCTTGCTCATGTCAATGTTCCGAGACATGTCATATACTAGAAGACGCTGCAACTGTTCGCGAGTACACACCAATACCAAGCCTAAAGTGTTGTGTGACTGTGGTCTGTCATAAATTGCTCTAATTTCACGAATGTGACACCAAATATCTCGCAAAAGTACAAACATTTCGCCAATGACATCCTGTAACTCGGAATCTTATCTTAATCTTGCCGAAGGGACTTCAATCAAAAACAGTTTTCCAGTGCTGTGCGGGCAAATACAAACATTGACAAACAAACAGCCCGTCAGCATTTGCGGCGTCCAGACACATAAACGATTTTTAGACGTTCGGCGTTAGTGGCCATTAGCACGTGGCTCTTCCTTTTAAAACCATGTTATCTGTTGGCTTTTCACGGTCGACCTAACTGTCTTACGTATCTGTTACAGTCCCGGAGTTTCGGAACGTTTGAAAAGTGGCTTTGATGTCCGATTCACTCGGGACCGCCTGAACCGGACATCTCGTGCCGCCCGTGTTATCTGGAACTTTCCAATGACGAGCTCAGGATGCCGACGGAGGAGCTCGTCGAGCTTTCTCTTTTCCGCTATCCTTGTGTCAGTACTGAACCAATACCGAATACCATCTTGTCGACGGGCTCAAAAGCCGGTAGATGAATGTAGGTGTCGCCTTTTCATTACTCGTACATTGTTTCCGGTTTGCTTCGCCATCCATTTGCTGGAATCTGCCTCAAACCTTCCTGGATAAGTGTTGCCAGGATGAGCCTTGCTCTCAAATGTTAACGGTTTCTGTACAAACTCTAAGCCTTAAAAAATTATCGCTGGGTTAGTAAGGCATTTTTAGGTCGACTAGTTTCTTCCTATTCCGTTTTGCTGTCTTCCGTTAGGGGTTGGGCGTAAGCACCTACTATCGATGCAGGCAATATGCTGCGTCAGAAAGGCGCTGGCACTGCAGGCACGTCACAGAGATCGTCTGTGTCGGTCTGTCAGAGAGGTGCTAGCACACCAGACAGGTCACAGAGATCTTCTGTGTCGATCGGTCAGAAGGCGCTGGCACTGCAGGGCACGTCACAGAGGTCGTCTGTGTCGGTCGGTCAGAGAGGTTCTGGCACAGCAGACATGTCACAGAGGTCGTCTGTGTCGGTCTGTCAGAGAGGGCTAGTACAGCGGCCCCGTCTCTCCAGAATCCAAAGTAAGCTCTACCACTGTGACGGAGGATGACGCCTAGGCCACAGTCTGCACGCGTGCGAGAGCCATCTTGTCCGAGATTAGGGAGTCTCCCGTCTTAGTGGATCCGATGTCAGCGGAACGTTAGAGCGACTTGCGCCATGTACAAGATAGCATGTATTCTGTTGTATCGGCCACGCATTGCCCCTTTGTCTTTAATCCCACGGACTATGAGAGCGAAACATTAGCGCATTTTAGTACGTTCTGTTGAATGGTGCCAGTCGCAAAATAAAAAATGGCTTCTTGTGCTATTCGGTAACGCTCAGGGGGGGGGGGTGGGCGCAGAATAGCCCGATCCTGCGGCTGGCGGAGCGCTTCGCCTTGGCACCTACCCGCCAACTACGGGGAGCTTCGATCAAGCCACGTGCCGTTACCGTGGGTTCGTAAGGGGTTCTAGGGCATCGCCAGATAAGTAGGCAGTGCAGCGACCATTTTAGCGTTTGTATTGCACGCACAACACAGTTTTATGGACGGAACATATTCTGAGGAGTGCAAGACCATCGATCCACCTTCAGACCCCCGCCGGCATGAGGACAGCCACTCGGACGAAAACGCGTACGGTGTGGGAGCGAAGCTGCGGGTGTCTTTGTTGGTACAACCCTTGACGGGGATCAGTTTAGTGCATGCTGATCAAGTCACGTCAGTGTGTGCCGAAAATGATTCGGTTTGGTTCTGTGTGGGTTATGAAGCATGCTGCGAAAGATGTGATTGCATGCTGCAAATGGCCCCCTTGGTTCGTTCTCGTGGTTCAGTTTGTTACAACGGCTGCCTTCGGGCTTCGATTCATCCACTCGTGGCTGGGCGGATTCGAGTTATTAGCTATGCGAGGCTCGTTGCCCCGGACTGGGAATGCCCGCGGCTGGTGGCGGCGGCCGAGCCAAAGGTCAGGTGACGACAACGAGAAAGACGAACCGTGCTCGGCAAAACGCCACGTAGTCTTTTGCCGCAAAGTTTTACCGTTGGTCTGGACTTCCACGATCGGATAGGGGGATCATAGCCCACGCCACGAACACTGCTTAGCGTGCGCTCTGATCCCAGACGTCCATGTATTCAAAAGGTTAAGACAAAGGCTTTTAAAGAAGGGTTTCTCGTTCCTGCCCATGGTGTTCAGGACTTGACAATTTCGTCCAATGGTGGTGCGCCGCACCGATGCGCACCACTGGCCGCAGTCGGTGTCCATAGCATCCATCGGTTAATGGATGAATCGGCTTTTCACCCCGACGCTGTCATTGCTCCTGCTATGCTTGGAATACACCCGAAACAAAATATACTTCAGCCTTATTGCTGTCAAGCTTGGTGAGTAATGCTTTGCAGCTTGGGGAGTAATGCTTTAGTGTAGAATTCAAACTCGTAATTCGTGATTTAGCATTCGTGATGAGACACACTGGCGGGAAAGCTGTGATGTTGAATAGCGGAATGGATTGAACTGAATCCTGCAATTTAAGCAAGCCTCTAATCCCGGTCCAACACAGCGCCAGCGAATAAATACAGTTGTTACTTCCCTTGTGTCGCATTTTGTCCTTTCGCTGAGCTGGCTGCTGATCCTTTGTGTCTGATGGGCATGAGAGTGGGATGAGCCTGTCCTTTGTGTCCTGATGAGCGTGAGTGTGGGATGAGCCCCCCCCCCCCCCCCCCCTGTGTCTGATGAGAGTGAGGCTGGGATGGGTTTCCCCTTTGTGCCTGATGAGCGTGAGGGTGGAATGACCCTGCCCTTTGTGCCTGATAAGCGTGAGGGTGGAGTAAGCCTGCCCCTTTGCACGTGATGAGCGTGAGGGTGGTGTGAACCCACCCCTTTGCACCTGATAAGCGTGAGGGTAGGGTGAGCCCACCCCTTTGTACCTGATAAGCGTGAGGGTGGGGAGAGCCTGGCCTTCGCGCGGAATAGCTATCCGCGGTCGCTGAGCCAGAGTTTACCCGTCGCCTTCCAGCCGTGGCACACTTTCATCCGACCGATGTCGCTGAGATCGAGAGCTCGCAGGCTGAGATTGATTGAGACTCTACGCGACGTCGCGTGGAGTCTTTCTGGACGCGCAGAGCCTTTTCCGTTGCTTCGTCGAAGTGAGACAGAAATGGAACATCAGGTCTAATTATAAACCTAACCTAACCTAGCCAAACCTAAACTAACCTAACCTAACCTAACCTAACCTAACCTAACCTAATCTAACCTAACCTAACCTAACCTACTAACCTAACCTCACCTAACCTACTCACCTCACCTCACCTCACCTCACCTCACCTCACCTCACCTCACCTCACCTCACCTCACCTCACCTCACCTCACCTAACCTAACCTAACTTAACAAAACTTTCCGCATCTCTAAGCATGATCTCAGTCAGCAGCAGCGCAGAGCAGACCGTGCAGTGCAGTAGGGTGTGAACGGCTCTGCAACCCCTGGTCCCGTAAGAGCCGCTGTCCATCTGGACTACTCTGAGGTCAGTGCAAACACGGAGACAGCGGAGCCGGTCACAGCCTACTGCCTAGGCGGTCCGCTCTGCGCTGCTTCTGGTTGAAATCATGCTTAGAGATGCGGCCTGTTTTGTCCAAAATTTTCCAAACAATTTTGGCCGTCCCAGTGACTCAGTTAGTTAGACGGCCTGCCTTCAAATCCACCCACGTGTGGCGGAATCGGTTCTAGACGGGTTAGGGAGTTCGCTAATTGCCCTTGACAGGTAGGGCCTTCGGTCAGGGGCGGCAGTGGTGCTGAAGGTCAGTGGACGTCGGAGGGCAGGACCAGCCGTGCCGAGCAGTGTGGCGCGTTAAGCTTTCACCACCAATTTTTGCCGATGACATGGAATTGCGCGATCGGGTGGTAGGGGTCAGGGCTTACACAACAAGCACTGCTTAGCGTGAGCTCTCATCCCAGAAATCCATTCATCCAAGTAGCTCAGGAACAAATCTTTAATATAAAAATAAAAACACATCCTGAACCGCCCATGAGCCTCAAAACAA